TCTTTGTTTATCAAACTTAATTTGGAGGATCTACATAACAAATGATATATACTAAGCGACATATGAATCCGAACACCCAGTTTAAATGGTTTTATTTTAATAAAATTTTGTATAAGTACTTAATGAAGCATAATAAGTAAATGATAAAAATTTGAAAATGGTTGCACTGCTTTAAAGCCCTTTGACCTTTAATAATGTGTGGATGCACCCTGATGTGCTACGCATTCTCCAACGCGCCTAGGCATGCTTCTGATCAGGTGGTCAATGTCCTCCTGTGGTATCGCATTCCAGGCAACCACCAACTCCTCTTGAAGTGCTTCTAGAGTCTGAGGAGGACGTTGCAAATTGAGCAATCTCCTACCCATCATATCCCACACGTTATGTTGAAAGAAGTCTATTGTGACTCTTGCAACATGTGATCGGGCATTATCTTGTTGGAAAGTTGGATCTGCCAGGGTGTCAAGATGTCAAGGGTAAAAGATGGGGTTCTAGAACTTCGTGGATATAACGCTGCGCGTTCATGTTACCTCTGATGAAGATTAAAGGTGACCTGGAACCATAAGCTATAGCACCCCAAACCATAACTCCAACAGTGTGATGAACATGTCTTTCAACAAAAAACTGTGGATTCCTCCTTTCACCACGTCGCCTTCTAACCCTGGCACGACCATCGTGCATGCCTAAACAAAATCGAGACTCGTCACTAAAGACAATACTGTTCCATTCCTGATCCCAGAGTGACCGTTGTCTGCACCACTCAAGGCGATTACGTCGGTGTTCTTGAGTTAAAGGGAGGACCCAGTGTGGCCGGTATGAAAACAAGCCAACACTTCTCATTCGTCGGTAAACACTTCGCATGCCAATAGGTCTTCCGTGTTCTGCAAACCATTCATTTGCAATGGACCTGGTAGTGGAGAACCGGTCCCTTATGGCCAATAATCTTAGGCGGCGATCTTCACGGTCTGTTGTTCTACGGCGGCGTCCAGTGCCCGTTGCTCTTTGCGTACGGCCTTCTCGAAGTCATGCTTGACAACACCTAACCACAGTGTCTACACTTCTTCGCACTTTAACTGCAATTGCCCGAAAAGAAAGGCCAGCTTCCCGAAGTCCTACCATACGGCCCCTATCAAACTCACTAAGTTGACGAAATCGTACAGGTCTCCGTACTCTAGGCATCGTAACCGATCGTAAAGGATGTCAAGAACCAAAATCCGCCAACGTTGATTCTTTACTGCGGCTGAAATATTCATTTTTAGAGCGTTAGTGAATTAAAAAAAAGCAGTACAAAAACCGGAATGTCCAACTGATAAGGCTGAAAATTTTTTCACTTGTTATTTACAGTAAGATAAATACATTCACCAACTTTTATTAAAATAAAACCATTTAAACTGGGTGTTCGGATTTATATGTCACTTAGTATAGTTGCCGAAACGCAATTTGGAATTTTGTTTTTATATGTGGTGTATGTTTCTGCCGGGTCATGCCTTTATCAAGGGTGACACCGAGATGCTTGGCAGAATTTGTCACACGATTTCCGTCTACAGAAACCTCTACTGGGGGGCCGCGACGTTTTTTGGTAGAATAATTAGCCTGCGTTTTCGAATGATTAATTTCTATACCGTTGCGCCCAGTCTAGTACTTCGTCCACCGCACTCTGCAACCCATCGTGAACCAGATCACCATTACACTACTGGGTGATAAGTGCAGTGTCGTCAGCATAATGGTAGACTTCACAGTTACTGGGGCAAGGGGCATCATGAATGAAAAGCGAATAAAAGATTGGTGCTAGGACCGAACCCTGAGGAACACCGGCCCGTACTGGCCGTGTTGTTGACAAAACATTGTTAATTTTTGTCCGAAACTTCCTTCCTTCAAGAAAGGATTTCAATAATTTTAGAAGCCAAAAAGGAAAACCCTTTTGGATTAGTTTATAGAGGAGGCCCGCGTGCCACACCTTGTCAATGGCTTTTGAGACATCCAAAAGCAAGATGCCAGTACTCATATCCTAGTCGTCATTCGGGCTGAATTGTGTCAATGTTAAATATAAACATTTTCACAATAACTGCCCGTGCTGTGTTCTAATAAACTGATAGCTCGACCGAAAATTACTATGTCTTTTTGGTGACCCCTTCAATTTATGTGCTTTTGTGAAATAACATTTTTTTCAACAATCATAATCGAACTGAACAGGAAAAAGTGGAACCAAGTAGGTTGCCTGTAGTGTCCACACATGAGTACCTACAGTTATTTGTACCCTCGTCCCATAAATTACTGTTGAGAGAATCGAATTTTCCAAACTTTTTTATACTGAAATTGATCAAATTCTGTTCAGAGACATTTCAGCGTTTCTAAATTCTAAGCGTTGTTGGGTATTTGCAGGGTGTTAATAAAGTATGAAGACAAACTTTAACCACCGAATCCTTGGTCAACTTGAAGACGAAATTTCCATATGAACATGGATCCGCAATGGCTTTGTTTTCAAGCTAGAGCATATTAGCACTAAAAGAAATGATTATACCGTTCTAAAAAATTATAAAAGGATGGAACGTATTTTATTTTAATTAGGTATGCCCTATGGTGAATATCACATGATTTACAGTTGTTTTCAGACCCGCCATGTACGAAGATACGGATAATGTTATCCAGTATTTTTTAAAAAAATAGCATGGCATTGATTTGTTTTGATCGCAATACCTTTAATATTTAACCATTGTGCTTATCTAGACACTTATGACGTACCCGAAAACAATTGAATCAATTTATTTTCTCAATAATTCGTGGTCGCTTTGAAAATTTATTGTAAAAAAACTATTCGATATTTTCTATTGTTGTCGTTCTATTCGAATGTTACTGTTCAAATCTATTGACCTTCTAAATATTTTTCTTTCCAAAAATACAGGATAATACTATTTTTATCCACGTTCATATTGAGCCTCAGAAACTTGTAAATAATGCAAAACTTATCATAGGTTATACCAACTGTTCAATAAATATGTTTCATTATACATAGAAATATTTGGAACATTACTCGTATTTCTTTAGTGATAGTGATCTAGCTCGATAAGAAAGCCGTCACAGACCTATGTTCATATGAAGTCTTCAAACTGACCAAGAATCCGATGGTTACAGTTTGTTTATATACTCTATTAACACCCTACTACTAAATGACATAGAACATGCATCTACTAGGACTAGGAGTGCTGTAATTTTGAGCATACTTTTACAAGATTTAGGTCTACTGATAAATAGAAAGTGATTAAAATGTTAACTCGAAATTTTGCAAAATAGCTGAGATATCCCACCTTAATGTTAATAATGTGCTGGAGCTCCTCTGTTCGCTACACATTCGTTAAGTCATCGCGGCAATCATTGGATTCGGTGATTGATGTCTCCTTGGTGTATTGTATTCCAGGCCATCTGAATGTGGTATCGAAGAGCCTCCAATGTTTGAAGAGGGTGCGGTGAATTTTGCAACGGATTAAAGGAAGGTAAAGTTAAAACAGGTCCCATAACTATTGTAACAGTAAATGCAAGAAAGCAATCCTGTGAAAATAAGTGGTTAGCAACTCTTCTCTTCTACAACAATATGACTTTACTAAACATTTATTAGGCCAATTTTACCTTGAAGTAAAGGGGCATTTTTCATTTTTCATGAATGTGCATATTTTTAGCTGAACGCGTCAGACACGAGGGCTATGTCTTTCGCTCCTGGATATATATGTAGATATGTGGTTAAAACACTTCTTGGGCTACAGTCCAAATTGCTTGATTGATTTTGTCAAATGAGGTGTTGTTAGATTAGCAGTGCGACTAACACTGGATATATTAAAATTTCTATAAAATCAAAATGACAGACTTTAATCGAAAATTTCAACTTGCTTGTACATTACCAATCTACATTGTCGAATATCCTTACTAGCTACATTGGGATATTACTTGGAAAAGCTTATATCAAGATCAAAACTCTGAATCAAACTGAAGACCTCAAGGCAAGTATTTTTGATTCAAATCCTATTTTATTTTCCGTGACTTTATTCAAGAAGTAAACTTCAAACAAATTACAACTTTATTTTCTTCTACAATATGGTACAATTATTTTGCTCCATAATGCTATTTGAATTTTAGATAATAAAATTACTCTGGCTTGCCGCATTCATCTTTTTGCCATTGATTGGTGTCTATTTGTCAACAATTGAATACAGTAGAACTATGACAGCGATTATAGAGCCTATATTGAAACCTTTGTTTGCACTTGGTATTGGAATTGGAATTTTGGGTATGTCAGTCAATCTAGGAGGTAAGACAATTATTATTCTTACCTTTTACTTATTACACCTAAAGGTCCAATAACAAAATATTTCACAATGTATTTCTTTGTGGCATCTTAAGCATCTTCTAACTTAAGCCTCGGTAATGAGTAACCGTTCTGTCCAATGGTCTCTATACTATCATTTGGAAGCTATTTTCTTCTTTTCTTTGGTAAAGATAGTGAAGGCGTAAGGAAACTTTTTTCACACCACGTGAATTCACGAGCCGTCATGCAAACACGCATATCAAAATGTAAATTTTTGGGTGAACAGAAACATAGGTGCCCAATGTGACAACATTTATGATAAGATACACCTACTTACGTAAGCAGAAACCCACGTATCGTGCAAGTTTGTGTTATAGCTCGTAAGTTTGGTGATACATTGTGAGTTTCAGTGTTCCCGCCTTAACGGATATCATATTATGCGGTATACTTTAGGTGTAGTTAAGAGAATGCTTGAATCAAGATTTTTGGAAGTGATTGTATTACTTTGGTATCTGGAATATTGTTCCTTGGATGTGAGCACACTAACTATTTTGAGTATTATGTATATTATTCCATGCAGTGTATTGTTCTCAACAATTATAAGAATCGGCTGATTCTTACAAGAAGTTAGTACTTTGGCTCAAAATTGGTTCATCTACGTTTTTGCCCTAGTCTGGAGTATTTCAAAAATCATTGTTCTTTACAGCTGAAGGACTTAGGTGTCCTTGTTGGGCAAGTTTTGTTCTCGGCTAATTGACAACCTTGGTGTTTGAGCTACCAGGACAGAATATTCAACAATTGTTACTGCCACAAATTCCCAAACAATCAAAATCCAAAGACGCATAATCTTGTTGAACTGCTGTTATACAGTTATCACCACAGGGTTTGTTGTTGGAGATTCAGTAATTCAGCCCCAAGTGAGGTTTCATAAATTTTTGTAATACTCATATATTTCTAACTATAATGAGTTTAACAAATACGTTACATGATAAAGTAATTATGAATGTTATAAAAGCTTAACTAAGGTAAATAAATATTTTCAAAATAGAAATCGTGTTTGTGGTCTGGGTTGGTCATTCCTATGGTAAGGTTCCTTGTCCTCTTGTGGTGTTGTTTTTCAGATACTTCGTAGTCAGTTGTTACTTTTCCAAATATTTTGAGGTTAACGACGAATCTGAAGAAGCAGTAGTATATGATCTCGATAATTGTTATCAAACTGCATCCTATGAAGAGACTGTATACTCCCCCAAATGAAGCTAAAATAAGAAAAATAAATTTGAATTCAAAGTAAAGCTGAGCTGAGATATTTATCTCTGACACTTGGTTAAATCTTTGCAGGCATATTTATTTTGTCATACATTATCTTACCACCAGTAATGCACTGCAGGTCATTAGCATGCAGTTTAAATAGCAATGCTGGCTTAAGGTGTTCTCACCAGGCAATACTAAGCCGGTTCTACCATTTACACTCCCTGTGCTGCTTCAGCTGTGCAATACTGGTTATAACACACAGTATATTATTTATGATTCTTGTTGACAAAAGTGAGCGCTCTTATTAATTTTGCACTATACTTATATTACACAGAGATAAACACGAAATATGATAGTATGGCCAGCATAAAACGTCCATTACTGGATGGAATTCAGCAAAATAGCCATTGTTGTGCATGATAGAAAGCCCCGCATCGCAAACTGAACGTTACTTGCTGTTCCTACCAGCTGAGCTATTTTGTTTGTCATAATTTACTTGCTGATAAAAGGTCTAAATCATAAGTAACCAGTAAGTCTCGCTGTAATGACTGGAACTAAAGGGTTAAAATGTAAGAGTAAAATTTAGTAGCTTAATGTTATGATGAACAATTATCTAAGATACTAGTATTCTGGTGGAACCTCCACAAGATTTATCGGCTGAATATTTACATGATACACAATATAAACGTGGATTTAAGAGATATAAATAGCCAAGAACCGCACGTCATTGAAAATATGTTCTACCGAATATCTGTAAAATATTGTTTCTTTGGTACCTACACAATAAATAAACGGTTGATGTTATAGTATCCCTCAAATAAATGGTTTGTGTCTGTCCCAGGAAAAATATGTTCACCACTATGTGATCATTTCTTAGGTTAAGCGAATCACTGAAAACAAGTGTACTATTAAAACGACTGAAATCATCTTATCCTTTTGTGAAATTGTTAGGTCTTATCTTTAACTTACAATGAGTATACGCACATACTCTGGTTGTATTCAAGCTTAGATGTAGTGGAAAGGATTTCGTAAAAATCATCCTCACACTGTGGCATACAATCGCACATTGACTGCTTTGCGTTTTGGGCTCTATCTGAAAGATCGATAAAAAATATGATTATTTAATTTATACTATAAACGTACAGCACTAACCACTTTTTACATTAAGAAGGCATGGGATCTCTGTTATGTTACAAATCGCTCCACCTGAAAAGCAAACAAAGGTTGTATTTAAAAATTACAAGTAAATGCGCTCCAAACAGTATTTTATCCAAAAGAAAATCGGTTAACACTGGTCATTAATGTATCATAGATTTTCAATGTAGGAAACTGTTGAAACAAGTAGCACTGCGTAATTACGCTCGTACATCCAATAAGATGTTGTTTTGTTAATATAACCTAATAATGACAATATGTTGTAATTGGAACAACCGTATTAATATTTCCCTCAATATTTTCCTGTTTTAACTGTCTTTGGTATGAATTTAGTAAGATTTTAATCGGACATTTATCCGGGTAAGATACTGCATAGATCAAGGGATATAGCCAGTTCTATATAGGGTGTACCAACGAAAATGAAAAGTAGTTTCATGGTATAATGGAGGGAAAATATAGTTGAAAAAGTTTCGCTGCCAGATTGGTATCTGACTAGTGCGTGTTTTTAAGCTACTTAGACTTATACAGGGTGTTACATAGCTCCGCTGTACAACAAACATGCTTTTTTCTAGTGGAACACCTTGTATCTTATCAAATATTTGTAAAGCACTTTTCCAAACAAGAAGATTGATAGGATTTTGATCTTCATTTGGTTAGTTATTTCATCAGTTGTTTGGTAGAATGGTATATTTGAAGGTCTGAAATGCTGTCATTTTGGATGGCTTGTTGTTCAATTTTGGACAGAGGATAAAAAGTCATACTAATTTCAAGCCACACTGCGAAAAGTGTCAATAATACTATTAGTCACCTTACCAAAATAAGCATAATAGTAAGGCACACATCCGCATCTAGCATAAAAGGCCTTTGCTTCACATCCTGTTAAACAGTTAGAATCACTGTAAGGGCCGTCAAATGCTTGAAAAGCCTTCTTTGGACCTTCATCTCCATATATGCAATCGCGTTGGCTGATTGGCAATTGTCTGACAGCTTCACTACATACCATCTTTGTGCCAACTATTTGTAAATATGCTACATTTCCAGGGGATATGATCTTCGAACTGGACTGAGAACCTGGATACTCAGTTGGATCGTGGATGATAACCTAGAGATGGATACAAGCATTGCATTACGATATCGGTATCTCTAGATCAGTGGTTGCCAACCTTTTCAGTGTGTTGAGCTACTTTGATAATTTTTGGAATAAGCAGCGAGCTACCTAGTCATAAGCAATGTAAGCCAACTTAAATGAAATTATACAGGTGTATGCAACATATCTACATGTGTTTATTTTACTAATACTAATACATACTACATAACTACATCCATTCCTACCAATCGTAGGTGTTTGAAAAATAAACAAAATCCTTCGTCAGCTACAATGGCATGTCACATATAATTTAATAAAGGTAACTAAAAATAAAAAAAGCAACGCACTATTTTAAACAAAAAAATGTCCAGATAAAAAGTGCGTGTTTGACAGTCAGACTCAATTTTTTTAATGTTTGGAGTATCATTTGATACCGCTATTCGAATACAATTATCCAAATGTTGATCTGTAGGCCGATTACGGTATTTGTTTTCCATAAACTTCATATTTGGAAAAGAAGATTCACACAAATAGGTTGAACTAAATAACTCTTTCATTTTCAATGCAACACGACATAAAGCTGAATATTTATCTTTACTCACTGAAGGCCAAGCACATTTTGTATTTGAGAATAATGATTTTGAAGCTAAATCATTTTGAAACGCAATTACTTCCATTTCTGTCGCAGCGATGTCTTCGTTAAAATTCTGCGTAACGGAAGTTGCAAACTATTGGATATCAGTTTCCATGAAGGGTGAAACAACAAATTGCGACACTATAGTTAGTTTGTTGAAATCCTTGAAACGATTTTTGAAGTTATCCTTCAAGTTAGAGACTATTTCTTCATGATATTTACTGTGATATCGTCCTAATGGACTTAGCGATATCTTTTCTGAAAGAACAGGGAAATCCCTTTGACATCGATTAGTTTGTTAACAAACGATTTTATATAAAAAATCAGTTCTGGTAATTCTTTGCCTCTCCCCTGAAGCTAAAAATAAAGTTCATTTCATTTTTCTATAATATCCACAAGAAAACCAAAATCTCTAAGCCAGATTGCATTTTCCAGTTCCGGAATCGGTTCCACACGTTCTTTGAAAAATTGAACTATGGCAGATATGATATCATTAAAACGTTTCAACACTCGTCCTCTACTTAACCATCCAACTTCAGAGTGAAGAAGTAGTTCCCCGTATTGACAGTAAATTTCATCGGCCAAGGTTTTGAATAATCTTCTTTGTAACACTTGAGCTCTAATCTTGTTCACAATTTTTACTACCAATTTCATAACGTTGTTCAGTTTTAGAAAATGTCCACATAATGCTTGCTGATGGATAATGCAGTGGTGACAGAGAAATTGCGGAAAACTTTCATGTTCACGACATAGCCCCATGAGACCCTTATCACGACCCACCATAGCTGGAACGCCATCGGTTGTCAAGCCTACCATTTTCGATATTGGAATTTTCCCAGCAGTCTGTCCTTTTAGTGGAATAAACTTTCTTTAATCGTAAAATCACTAAAAACCATCCTGACGAACACGGCAGTCTGAGAGGTGTCAACGACATCTGTGGATTCATCCAGCTCTAGTGAAAAATAAACACATCTATCGAAATCATTTCTTAACTGTAAAACTATATCATTGCTCATTACTTCTACTCGTCTCATCACTGAATTAGCAGAAAGTTGCATAGATTTTATAGCAGAAGACACTATCTCTCTCTTTATGTCTAAAGTTGGCAAATAATGAATCTGCAGCTTCTAAAAATGCCTGTTTTAGCATTTCCCCGTCGAATTTTATCGATTGTGATTAAAAACATTGTCTGTTGTCCAATTAACTTATTTTTCAATTATTTCAGTATTTCCTTTCTGATTGCAGAACATAATGGGAATGATTTTTCAAAATCAGAATGTACAGTTTCATAGTGCCTCTCGATATTACTTTTTTTAGCAACCGAAACAGATGTAAACAGATGTGAAAGATATGTCTTTCATAAATATGATGTAGTAAAACTGCGTGGTTTATAGTAGTAGTTACTCCGAAGAAAAGTAAAACCATCAGGGCTGCCTTTTACAAACGTTACTCATTGTAAAATGTAAATTGATAAAAGCGTTACAATTTCTGATCCTTTAAAATTTTGGTTGCACGACTCGTTGTAGTTCAGCCTAACGATTTTCTTTTGAGCTAAAAATACGCTTTTAATATCGGTAGACACTCCTCAAGTAAAAATATTTAATGACAAAAGACTAAAAACAAATGCATAATATAGGTTTAAAAGATCATCTTGGCTTAGGAGCAAAATAGCAAAATACACTTTGTTCAGTCTTTTGCCGACATCATTTATCTGACTGTAAACTTGAGATCAGAGTCGAACGAAGTAGCTAATAGCTTTACTCCGAATTGGAAATATATCCCACTGTCATTACAAATATGTAATGGTAATTGCTTTTTAATAGAACAACTTATAAATGTTGCTCTGTCCTTATTGAGTATTAGTTGATTTTCCTTTACACTAAGACTCCATCTCAGA